TATATATATATATATATATATATATATATATATTATTTACATAACAATATTATTTACATCATTTTCTATGATGACTCAATTTTTGTTGTTGAGCCCTCCATCTTCAACTTCCACTTCCTCTCCACCATCTCTAGTTGGAAAATGAACTCACCCTTCCCTCTTTTGCTTGTTCAATTGCTTCTATCTTGCTCTACATCTCCCATTGTTGTTCGTACAAATAGTGAGGAAATAGAGTTGTGAAGAAAAAAAGATCGGGATTGATATATTATTAAAGTGTGGATAAATCTCAACATGGTCGCCAGGTGGAGAGGGTCGGGCAGAGTTGAAGAGATGCGAAAACATTTTTGGAAATACTAGATCACCAAAAACTTACTTTCATTATTTTAAAAACAAATCAAGTTGTTTTTAAAAAAATTAAAAATGAAACCAACTTAACAAAATTATTTTATTATATATATAATTTACTTATAAAAATAATTTGTTTTGAAAAATAAAAAAAAAACAGCTTAACAAACCTTTTTTCAATTTATTTTATAAAATTAAAATCAGAGAAACTATCCAAAACAGGCCCTAAGTCTACTATATTTTTCTTCATCAATAGTTAGTTCCCATTTTGCATACAAAGTACAATATGGAATCTAATGTGATTTTCAAAAATGCAAAGATAAAAGAACAAAATTAACTAAGAAAATGTAACGTTTGATTCAAACTAATAGATAAATAATAAAACGGAATATATAAGACAGAATGCTGGCAGAATACTCATAAAAAAATACTCACACATGCAAGTGGATTGAGACAGAGCATTGACATAAAGAGCCATCTTCTATGTTTTGACCACAATGCTGGGCATAAAGAGTGCAGTCCATTCTGCTAATTTCAAGATTGCACAATAAGGAAACTCACAAAAGACAATTTCATTATATGCATGGAAAAATTGAACTTAAGCGAGTTAATTTGCAAAGAAATTCAGTAAACAAAGGTGTAGTGTCAAAGAAAATTAACATCTTCATAGCCAAGGAACACCACAGCATAAAAACAGAGTTGTGCATAACACTTGAACCATATGTTTAATTATTTATTATAAAATTAGGTAGGGTAACGTATTTAGTGGCTAGCATTCAAAAGTATAAATTCATTATATAAATAAAAAGATGATATTTTTGTTAAGAAGCGAATAAAAAAGGAGTACCTGAATACAACAAGAACTTAAATAGCTATGCCTTCAATAAAATGAACTAATCACCAGATATGAGCCAATAGACAGGCCATATTATAAGTTCAAGAAGATAGACTCAGTAATCTAAATGATGGGAAGAACTCCATGGAATGTTCTCTTCCCTACAGATTATAGATTTTCATTCAACCCATTGCATCCAAAGAAATCAATACTTCTTAAAAAAAATCTCTGATTGATTGACCATCATTGCAAATGAGGAAAATTTTTAGAAAACATCAAGATAGTTGATCGTTGATCAAACATGTTTAAAATTTTCGCAATTGAATTGCCCTGAGAGTTTAACACAGCATTCACTTTTTCTTTTTAATTATACCAATGGAATACATTTGATGCATATACCCACTTCATAATTAAATAAATAAAACAAATTCTGAAATGAAAGAGTGCAGCCCTATCATGCTTTTGACCAACACACAAGCAAGACATCAATTTCTCTCTCGAAAGCTTGATAGGCTGACACTTTGATGAATCAAAATGCCATTTTATGAAATTGTGTTTCAAGTTATTTCCAATATTGCAGATCAAGATAACTAGTCCTCAACTTTGTCTCTGAGAATTTATGATCATAGTCTAATAGAATAAAAAAATGGCATTCCATTCAAGCTGATAGCAGAAAATATGCATATACCTACAGATCAAACTACTAATGTGAACCTCTCTATGTTTTTAGTGTATACTTGAAAATTATGAACACAAAGGATGTTCTTAGATACCTAATAAACAAAGGCATGATGTTCAATATGTTTGCTATCTAATTCTCTTCCAAAATTTCAACATTCGACCCAGAACAAGTCGCTCGGCCAATGCCAAATAAAAAGCTAACTTTATGTACTTAAATAGGAAAGATGACAGTAAGTACATTCAACTTATCAGTTGAATGGAAAAAACTATCTATAGTGATCGATGATAATTCGCAAGTTCTTAAAGAGAAAAAAAAAATAGTCATCTATAAGGTACAAAAGACAAAAAAAAAAAGCTTGCTAGGAGTATCTAAAAATGCATCCATAACAAGCATTTAGATTCTAGCATTGTCAGCCATTAACTTCTCTTCTCATGCCTTTAAAGTCTTAGAGACACCCATTTCCAACTACTGGATCATAGTTTCAAGAAATATAAATCATATGTCTGGCTCTTCTAATTAATTTCCTTCATAAACTACTTAGTACTAGCAACCAAATAAGAAAACCATGGTCGATGGATCCTTGGCTATGATATTCTTATAAAAAAAAACTTCTCACACAGTCACACTTCGAAATATCCTCTATATACCATGAGAATAAGCTAATCTACCATCCATTCAAAAGTTAATCAAAGATACCAGGTACAGTGTTGAGTTTTAACCTTCATATTGTATCTTTCAGAAATAAGGCAAGAAAAGGACATTAAGATTGTTAAAAGAATGGATGGTCTTTAATACCTCGAAGAATCAAGCGATAAATAAAACTTGATACAAGCTTCAATGCTATCTCTTATCTCAACAATCTTTAAATACAATAAGGAAAAAAAATAGCTTCGGCACCTCCGCCTTGGCCAACCATTCCTTATTGTCATCAAAAACATGTTCCCTTCATTATTTAACAAAAAAATAACAACATTGTCTCCTAGAAGACATCCAATAAAATTGAAATCCAAATTTTATGCAGCCCATTTGACCTATTAGTTGGGTTCCTTGTCTTCAACAATAAGGTTTTAAGTTTTGGGTTCAAAGCCTAGCACATAAATGTATGTGCGTGAGTTCCAAAAAAAAAATAAAATCAATGGCCGAGAATTTTATTGTGAAATGTGTGAATCAATAAAATACATACATACGAATTTTTTATCGAGTGACAAACTCTAAATTCTTTCTCTCACATTCATGGTAACATTTAGGGATTAATGCATTATACTACACCTAATATCTCAGGATTTGGGCGTTCGTGCCTTTAATCGATAATTACAACAATATAATATGGACCTTTTTACTAAAAGACAAAATTAATGATATCTTAACTATTCTCACTCCCACTTCCAAGAAACAAATGATACATAATTTCTCATTATACACTATAATAAAATGGAGTGACTAAATGAAAAAATGGGCACAGATTTTCTATGAAAAGCAATTTTAATAACCATCAAAAAATGGGCAGGGCACAGATTTGCTATGAAAAGCAATTTTAATAACCATCCGCATCATAAACTAATAACCTATATAAAAAGCCTTACATTTAGGAGTCCTACACAAGAACCAAATATTTTTTTCTCCATTTCAATGAAAACTCTTATTTTTATAAAATTTGAAAGTGTTGCATTTGTACATAGACATTCTCAAAATAGGGGGAAAATTAAATCTAAGCAATTAAATGTACTTTTATTGGCTATTGTCACGTATAGAAAGGGTACAAATGCTATCATCCCCCAACAAGAAAGGTAGATATTATGACCATTATTTTTAATAAGAAAATCACTACTTTGTTATTACTTATCCTAAAGAACAAATAGCATTCATAAATGAAGTGTTATTACTTATCCTAAAGAACAAATAGCATTCATATGAAGTTTTTTCTCCTAGTTGTCCTTCCTTACCCATGGTCTCAACTAACAACTCTACAAAACAAATGACTCATAACCAAACCTAATCTATACTAAAACCACTTCCTAGTCAAAAATTATAAGTTTAGGCAACAAAAAATGCATCTCAATCTAACAAAATCCAATCAACTGAGTTAATCCTCATCACTGAATCCGTTAAAGGAACCATAGAAAAATCACTTGCCCAGAAAATCCAATCAACTGAGTTAATCCTCATCACTGAATTCGTTAAAGGAACCATAGAAAAATCACTCCCAGAATAATCCAAATTGATTATGTGAAATCTTTGTATCATGTCTTAACCTATGTTCCATTACCTCTCCAATAATTTTCAAGTATGACACACTAACTTAATTCCTCTATAATTTGCATAGTCTTGTGTATCCCTTTATTCTTAAAAATGGGGACTAAAACTCCGCCACCGCTCCTCGGACATCTTTTTAGTTTTTTAAATAATATTAAACAATTTAGAAAGCCAAAAAACTACCAAATCTCTTAGATATTAAACACTTCAATTAGCATATCATCAGGTCTTGATTCTTCGCCCTTGATTTTCTTTAAAGCCTCCTCAACTTTTTTTTTTACTAATGTGACCGTAAAAATAAAAATTTTTATTATTATTAAAGATATAAAGATCACAAAGGTCGATCGTATTTTCAGAAACTTTATTGAAATGTTTATCAAAATATCACATTTTCAGAAACTTTATTGAAAAGTTTATCAAAATATCACACAAAATATCACATTTGCTTATGTTTAATATCTTCCTCTAAGAAAACAACTTTTTGATTTTCATCTTCAATACAAATTACTTGAATCAAATCTTCATTTTTTTTCTTCTCTCTTAATTTGGGTAGTTTATAAATATATATTTTCATCATTTTTAGTATCTAATATATTATAAAGATCACTAAAAACACATAAAGGGTGGTTAGTCAATTATTACATAATCCTAAGAAAATCAGACGTTAGACAAATATAGATTATGTGGATTCTATGATTTACAGGAGTTCAATTTCAAAATATTACACATTTTTCAAAAGCAAAATTTTGACTTGAAGATATAAAAAACAAAATCATATACATAAACCAGAATTTATTCTATGGCACTGGGAATTTGCAAATAGCTACGCCTAAGAGTTGTCATGGAAGATTTAAAAGTTAAGTGGAAAGATTCTAAGAGGCTCTAATCATATTGCAACATGACCATACAAAGTATATTGAAGTTGATAGACACGTCAAGACACTGGTCTAATATGTACTCTATTCGTATACACAAGTGAACTTGAAGCAATCTCACCTAAGAATTATCAAGGGCAATCTTTCAGAAATTATCAAGTAAAGTTTAAATGGATAGCACCCATTCATTCACTCAAGAGGTGTGAAATGTCTGCATAATTTATGCCAACTAGGACCCAATAGTCATTCATCTCTCATCTTTTGTGACTCCATTGATCTGTGGAATCCCCAATATCAACTCATTAATCCATTAATTATTATAATTATGCTCCAATGTTATCCAGCATACTATTAAAATTACTCAACAATTATTATTCCTAAATTTTGTATGTTAATTATTAAAAGGTTTCTTGGGAACTATGAAAGAAAGTGGGAACCGGAACAATCCCAAATATGTGATTTGCAAAATCAACACATTCGCTGCAGAAATGTCCAAACCAAAAAAGCCATTGCCAGACTTGTCAAAGAGTATTTAAGCTTCATGTTTCATAACTCACAAATAAGCAAGCGCCATTCCTGTCCTATCATAGGATAACAGCATTTGAAGGTAAAATGGGAGCAAGCATCGGCCAATCTTTAGCTTCTTATCCAAGAAAAGGATATGAAAGTAAACACAATTGAAGCTATGCCGATACCACCAAAAAGATAGATGTAAAAATGTTTCACTAGCCATTATACAAATTTTAACAGAAAGGAACCCATAGGACTACTGGAGAAATAAATTAGTATTAATTCAATTGATTGAAATAAAAAAATGAATTTTATAATTTGGGTAATTAATTCCAAATTTGATAGAAGCCAATTCGATAGTTTAACTAGAACAAAAATTGAAAGCACAAGAAATGATTACTCACTAGCTAGTTTAAAAGTTTTGAACTTGATATAGTATGAAAGAATGAGAAGAGGGGAAAAAGAAAGAGGAAAAACTTAGCAAGGTGAAGTGCAATTTCAAATGTCACTCCTACTGGATGGTAAGAGCAGATTACCTTCCGATCATATCCATACCAAAGTAAGTGCTGCTTTGATAAGTGCACTGGCAATAGAAGTGTTGTATGCCGTACAAATAACACTGGACCCAATTGAACCAGGAAAAGTGGAGAGTTCTCGCTCCCTGAAGTAGAACCACCATGTGATGCCTCTGCTCTCCACAGATCACCCCTTGCAACGAAAGAACTTTCAACATCATTTGTCCTGCTATCATAAGTTGATGTAATACTAATACTTCCCTGCAACCATTGTAAACAAATCATTTGCTGAAACTCTTAAACAAACACCATATAAGAAAAGAATGTATAAATTATAAAGATGAAAAAGAAACAAACAATTTCCTAAAGGCAAATTTGATTGCTAAATTCCTAAAAGCACGACACAATAAGAGTGAATCATGTTTTAAGAAAATAAGGGGAAAAACAAGTGACAGCGAGCACAATTTTGAGAAACTAAAAACAAAGAAAAAGTAAATTAAAAGTTTTCAAATAGAACTAAAGCCGACTAAACTAGAAAAACATAACGGCATAAGCACCTAGCAGCAGAATTCAAAATCAGATCAAGTTGTTCTAATGTTATACAATTTGTTTCTTCACTTTTAATCAATTTGCACATATTTTCAAAGAAATAGCATAAGGTGGCAATTCTTATGCATGAAACGCCATAGCTACTGTTCACTCACCATAAAGTTAAGTGTAGTTATATGAGGACCTTAATCAGAATATTCACATTTTTCATGCCTCTGTGACGTAGGAGCTTTCCGCCAACTATACTATAGCAGCTAAAGTACCACAGATGCAGTTACTGTAGCTCCTTCAGTAAACAGAGGATCATTCTTGCCTTTTTAACTTCCCCTCTTCTTTTCACTCCCTTCCTTAAAGAGTCACCTCCCTATTCATTGCCTCTTTTATCTACCACATTCCACTTCTATCCTATTTCAAATTCCTTCCCTTTTCACCCCACCCCCTCTTTAATTCTTGCCTAGTCTATCTCCAAATTTGTCCTATTTATAGATGTTCCTTTATGAAAACCAGACAATTTTTGGATGAGTGGAGAATTCTAAGTCCTGCCCTTGAGGCGATCTTCCCCCCAGGGGATGTTCCCGACGACGAGAAGGTGCTCCGGCAGTAAATCTTCTGAGGTGGTGACCGTCTTCAAGGTATGGGTGGTGCTCCAGCTGTAGCTCGATCCCGACGAGACATTTATCCATTCGCGGTCTCTTCCAGTCCAGTTTCCAACAGCCGCAAATCACTTGACCTTGCTGTCATCTTCATTCACTATTGTTGTTCGATGTTTCCTACTGTTATCCTTTGTTCCTAGTCACGCCAACACCCTCCCTGCTGCTTTTTGATGCCCCAGTAGTTGTCTTATTGTCGCTAGCCCCGCTGGCACCTTCCTCGGTGTTGTTTGGCACTTTCCGCAGTTGCCCCTGCACCCTCCAACAACCACAGCCCCTTCCCAACAGCTGCCCACCTCTTTCAGCAACCATTGCCATCTCCAAGCGGTCGTCCTTCCCTCCTGCCACCTCCCCTCAACCGCAACCCATCCCCCACAGTCGCCAGTTACAACCTTCTTTCAGCAACCACAACCATTTTCCATCAGCTGTCAACCCACCGTCTAGCAGCCTCCGTCCTCGTTATTACTCATGGATATCTTTTATTATTTATGATGTTTCTGTTTGTTTGTCGTTACTTTCTATTTTTTCAAGTGTCATGTTTGTAATATGTTTGAATTAAGAAATAATAATTTGTGTTTTCATTGTGGTTTGGGTTTCATCCGGTATCATTTGATATCAGAGCTATCCCAACTCTAGTATTATCCTAGGGTTCCCTAGCATCCACCCCCACCCAAGCCACACCTCCTACCAAAATGTTTCTACTCTAAAAGCTTCGATGGATGGAGTTGAAGCTCTCCAACCTCGGGATATTGATGTGAGATCTTACCACCCATGGTACTGTAGCAGCTACAGTACAACAAATGCAGTTACTGTAGCTGCTACAGCAACCACTGCCCCCATTTCCTATTTAATCCCTTTTCTTTCTTTCCATTTTCTTTCCTTCCTGATGATTTTCCATTATAATTTCTTTTCTTCTCTACTTCTTTTCTATTCCTCTCATTGCATTATATCTCTTTCATATCCTACTTTTTACCTATTTTATCTATTAATCCCCTCGTTCTATAGGTGTTGTTTTCTGACGTTTGGGAACAATTTTATGAGTGCGGATTTCTGCGTGTTATCTTAGAGGCGTTGCTCTTCTCCGGGGGTTGTACCCGACGACGAGAATGTGCTACGGTTGTAACTCGTCTGAGGTGGTGACCGTCTCCGAGGGTTCGGGTGGTGCTCCGGCTGTAACTTGACCCTGACAAGACATTTATCCTTTCACAGCCCACTCCAACCCCGCTTCCAACAACTCCTAAACATTTCCAGGCCTCCAACCCGCTACCCAGCCATCGTCCACCACTTCCAATTGTTGTTGGTCACCTCCCTGTTCCCCAAAGCCAGTTGTCCACTCCCTATTTTCCCCTGTCGTCGACCCTAAGTTTGTGTCTGATTGCTTCCACCAACCTCATCACAGCACTCCGCCAGTTGTTGTACCCTCATTCCAACCTCCTATTGCGCCCATCTCCTCCAACCAATCTCTCGACCTGCAGCCCAGCCACCCTACAGTGCATTTCGTGTTTGTATTGTTGTTATTTTCCTATTATCAAAAATCGGTGTTTGTAATCTTCTTGAATTTCAGCAATAAAATTAATGTTTTCTATTATAGCTTGGGCTTTTCGCCGATATCATTTGCCTAGGGTTCCCTAAATCCGCCCCTACCCAAACCATCCCCACCAAAATCTTTCTGCCCTAAAAGCTTCGACGAATGAGATCGAAGCTTCCCGAACCCCTGGAGATTGATGCTAGAGCTTTCCGCTCGCGGTACTATAGCAGCTACAGCACTGCAAGCGCGATTACTGTAGCTTCTATAATAAACTGAGGATCCTTCTTACCTTCTTAACTTCCCCCTCTCATTTTCACTCCATTCCATAAAGAGTATCCTCCCTATTTATTGCCTATTTTATCTATCACATTCCACTAATATCCTATTTCAAATTCCTTCATTTTTCATCCCACCCCCTCTTTAGTCTTGCCTAGTATACCTCCTAATCTTCCTATTATAGGTGTTGTTTTCTGAAAACCAGACAGTTTTTGGATGAGTGGAGAATTCTAAGTTTTGTATTTGAAGTGTTCTTCACCTCTGAGGGATGTACCCGACAACAAGAAGGTGCTCCGACTGTAACTTGTCCGATGTGGTGACCGTCTCCAAGGGTTCAGGTGGTGCTCCGGCTTTAGCTCAACCCCGACGAAACATTTATCCTTCTGCAGCCCCCTCGATCCCGCTTCCAGCAACTACCAACCATTTCCATGCCTCTGACTTGCTGCCCAGCCGCCATCCACAACTTCCAATTGTTGTCGCCCACCTCCCTGCTCCACAAAACCTATTGTCTGTTCCTTGTTTTCCCCTGCAGCCACCCATAAGTCTGTGTCCAGTTGCTGCCATCACCCTCATCACAACACTCCATCGGCTACTGTTGCCTCATTCCAGCCTCCTGTTGCGCCTGTCCCGTCCAACCAATCCCACGGCCTGCTACCCAGCCATCGTCCACCACCCTCACCACCACCCTAGGGTGTCTTCCGTGTTTGTATTGTTCTTATTCTCCTATTATCAAGAGCGATATTTGTAATCTTTTTTAATTTCAGCAATAAAATCATTGTTTTCTATTATGGTTTGAACTTTTCTCCAGTATCACTCAATATTAGCAAGAATGGAAAATGAGCATTCATATAAATTACTCAAAATAGTTAGGATATACTAATGATGATGATGATGATGATGCTTTAATGTGTATAGTTTACAACATTATATGAAAACTACAACATTGTTTTATTAGAGAAAAGCATTCATTAGTTTTAAGGATTTTAGTAGCATAAAGTTGCGGCTTTACCCTGGCATAACAAAATCTCAGTTCAATTATTGTACGGTTGAACCATAGCAGGGCATATGCAGCAACTTGTTGAAGATAAGATAAGATTATAATAGTATGATATAAGCCAACTCCAAAGAGCTCTGCACCATAGAATTTTGGCTCTAGTCTAATAGAAAGGAGCAATGTCTACTCAATTGATGCCAGAGACCTTGAACAAAATTTTCAAAGAGAAACAATGTCAATTGCAGAAATTTGCTCCAAGTTTACAAACCAGGATTGTTAATTATGTCTGCTATGCTTCAACCCCTATACAGAATTTGACTAATGTTGAAGTAACAATCAGCATTTTGAATAAATAAGCTTAGCCAACTCAAGATAAGACTCCTTAGATGAGGTCAATGAAAACTTTGGCCTTCTAATGTCAATGTTAAAATTGTCAAAAATGACCAAGAAGTGCATAATAGCAACCATGTGCCTTAGCACACTTCTCGAAATTGCCAATGTATGCCTTGACATTAAAAAAGAAGGAATCGATAGTTGTAATGTCTAACACTTTATGGAAAAGCAGCTAAAATGGCATGTTCTTCAAAGCAGTTCGATTCAAGGTACAGAAGCATGTTTCTATCTCAATGCATTAAACATAATTTACATTTAAATAGGTCAACCATGATAACCAAGGGACAACGGACCTATTTTAAATTTTGTACACATTTCATATTTTTCTCAAAGATTTTCAAACTATTAAATGCCATTTGAATATTATATATAACTCTTAAAGTTTTTTTAAAGTTTTTTTAAATATATTAAAAATAATATTTTTACAAATTTTGCCCATTTAATAATTATTTAGATTTTCATTTTTTTTAATGGTGGGGAGGTTTTGTTTCAAAAAATTAAGGAAGCTATGAGTCAAATGCAGAGTTAATTCTAAAGCCAAGGTTTAAAGGAGAATTGAGGAGATTGCTAGCAAGTGCAATGTTTCTTTAGAAGATATGCAAGGATCTTTATGTGAACGAAGCATTAAACAAGGTTTAAAAAACCATACCAAATGAGGAAGTCAACCTTCTGGTTAACCATACAAATCATTTTAAAAACAAACCAATAAAAACCATTATGAATTACCAGTTCGATCGGCCAACTGATTCCGATTATCTAGAACCCATAAGTCCACATATAACAATTTTAATAATATTTAATTCTCAATTCAATTGTTAAACTTTTCTTCTAGACATTAAATCTATAAGTAAAATTAAATTAAACATAAAATCCTAGATTTAAAACCTCAAGCCTAATTAAAATGACCTCATTCGAGCTAATTCATAGCAAGTCAAAAATCATTTTTCTCATAAACACAGTGCAATATTGACTCTCTTCAAACGTTGTGGGGCAAAAAAAGCTTTGGGTATGCTGAAATTTGAGTTGGGCTGCCGGAATAAGGACTTGGGACATCAGAGTTAGGCGTTAAAAATGATAAATGTGTTGCAATATGTAAGAATATATGGTAATAACATTTTAAGTTTTTTATTCTTTTGCATTATAAAATTTATATCTTTATAACAAATCATATTCTTATTATAAACTATATTTATTTATTTTTTTTATTTATATTATAAATTTGAAAATTTAAAACACAATTAAGATTCATACATCAAGATTTAAAATACACATATAATCATATCTTAACAAGTTTTATATCTAGCTTTAAATATATATTTATAGAATATACTTGTGTATAAATTTTATTTATTTTTGTCACATATTTACAATATTGCATCATTTAAATCATATTAAAATACTTTTAATATTAATTATATAATCATATTCAACCCTGGTTAAACTATTGATCCTTAAACATTCATTCTTCTGGTTTAATGACCGGTCCGATTTTCATAACCTTGGCATTAACAACTACAATCGTAAAATGCAATGACAATTACAAGCGCATAAGGTAGTAAATAAAGTTTCGCCACTCATGTAACCCTTCTTAAGTGTGATGAACATTGATTTGGAAATATTCTTCTGTACCCCTTATTTTTTTTCATGTAGCTTGATCTATAATCCCATATAGATTCATGTGTGCCCATATACATTAATCTGCCAAGCACATATAAAGACATGCATATAAGATTTTATTGCACTTGGCACCTGTTGGACAAAGGCTCCCTTGTTTATCTCAAATACTCCTAAATATGGTTGAACAAGAAAAAATTCTCACGCTTCCATCTCCTTTAGTGTATTATTTAGCTTGTTAGTTGTTTTGCACTTCTTAGGAATCTCAAATGCTTCATTGACACCTTTTTAGTAGTGGTATTATTCATTGTTCAATTTATTGGAATGATCCCTACTATTTTACTTTTAGATCATCGATTGTAGGTAAATCTTTTCATCATCAAGCAAAGAAGATTCAAATATTGTAAAAATTTTGCTATTTATTCTAAAATAATTACTAACATAAGACGGAAATTCTAAACTAAAAGCATTGTCATCATTTTATTGTTGAATCCTAATGGAACAAACTCTATTGACTGAGTTTTTGCCCCCTCCTTTGACTCGCTCCTTCCATAAATAAAGCCACACTAAATCTCATTCTTGAAAGGTATTGGAATATTGTGCTTTTCACGATTAACCTTATTTCTTGAAATTTCTTTAAACATCATTCTAGCTCATGGTGGACATGTCTAATGGCTTGTAGGTAAAATTGTGCCTTCTTCATCTCAAGCTTGTTTTTGCTTCCTATTCAGCCATATCAACAGTATATTCAATGTCAAACAAACTCTAGGACAAAACTATGACAATTCTCAGTGGTAACTTCATCATTGACACACGAACGACTTTATTGTTAAACATAGAGATTTCTCCATCCACCAATTCTTAGGATTCTTGATGTTATATCCTCACAAACGTACATGATGGTTTTGTTGAAAAACTCAATTAGACACTCAATTTTGAGTTGTAAGGCAGCTAGGATCTTAGCATCCATTATGCTCCATAGAAATCTTAACAACCGGCCAAGGAAACTTATAATCTCTAGGTCACCTTTAGCGATTCCACGTGTTAAAAAAACAACTTGTCAATATTCATTTTTTAGCATCAACTTTGCTCTAAGGTGCCCTATCATTCTTGATGTATTAACCTCCAATATATAAATGATTCGCTCTCGACTCCTTGAAAGATAGCAATCAAATGGGCATAGTAGAGTAATCCATATAGTATGCAAAAGAATGCTAAGTGTTTCGAAATCCTCTTTAAAATCAAGCTCAATTGAGTATGCTCATTATAATCTTCGTGATGAAAGAGCATGATCTCATTCAGCTACCCCATAAAAGTGATTGTGCATTGCGTTGTTCAAATAGCATCACCTTCCATTTAAATATCCCTTAGAAAGTCAATTCTTGTAATGCAAACTTTTAATTGTCCACTTATACTCAAATTTGGTCACCCCAACATACGATCCAACTAAGAGAAGTACATGACTTTAAGATGTCTTTTTTATAATGATTTTGTTTAATATTCTATAATCGATGCACATCCTTCTTTGCTACTAGAAACGTTCACAATGCATAGTGGGTATCTTGTCTTGCCCGCATGTTCCTCCGCCTATTTCTTTATCTCATTGATTTTCAAAATTAAATGCCAATACATAAACTCCATTTAGTGATTCTGAGTTAGAAAAAAATTCAACTTTAAATTTTCAAATTTAACATCTTTGTGGATATCTTTTAAGGTTCAACAAAATCACCTTTGTTCCAAAGTGACATTTTATGCTTGATCAACAAGCCTCTAAAATGGTGAGTCAATCAACCACTGGAGATATGGACAGTTCAATGATAATAATAGAGTAGATCATCTTTAATGAAAAAAAACTACCAGCTTGCTATCAGGTGTTTCAATTTCCTCCTTAAAATTGAGATTAATATAACATAGCTTATTATTATCTTCATAATTTACGAGCATGATCTTGCTTTTGTCCTAATAAAAATTATTTTCATTAGATAATTCAAAAAGTATCTCATCCTTCCACTTAAATACACCTTAGTGAATTTTAAAGCAATCTTTCAAATGTCCTTCTCTTGTACTCAAATTTGGTGATTGGGCTCTTAATAGTGATTTTCTATAACTCTCTATAAAGGATAGACTTCATCCATCTACCAATATTCTCCGGCACTAAAACCATTTTCAATCCACACTAGGTAGCTTGTCTTCTAAATAGCTACTGGTCCCACAAGTCCTTTGCCTGCTACCTTATCTTTATCAATTTAAAAAATTAAATGTTGGTACAGATCTTGATTTGGTAGTTGAGTTCCTTCCACCGATGGAAGCTCGTGCTCCATAACTCTTCAAGAAATTCCTACAAATTTGTTAATTTGTAGACTTTTAAAAAGTTAAGCACGGTGGAGATAAAATAAAATGTTAGTTCTAATTCCTTCATTTATGGCAGTACAAAATCAAGACAGGGATTTATAGGTATTTTGGTTCTTTCAATAAGTACATGATCAACTGAGGATTGGGATTCAACCTAAAGAGTAGGGTTTTGGATGTGGAAATGCTCCAGATCCTAGCATAAACACCCAAACCGCAGCAATCAAATTTACCTAGCTTCCTAAATCAAAGAATGCTTATTTCTTTTCCTTGCATAGTTCATAGTTTCTAATCCAGAATAAAGTTTCTAGCAAAGTCGATTGCTCCCCTTATCCTACAGTGAGTGTTACGAGGTTGATTTCCAATTTGCCATTACTTATTTTTGCCTACTTTAGCACATTTTTACTTTCCCTTACATTGTTTTCAGCTAAATGTTCCTATTTTGCAATAAACACCTAGACTCATTATTTCCTTCCCTCAAATGGCTTTGAAACTGACATCTGCAACTAAATAAGATGAGTAAAGGTAAACTACCTCCTCCATTCTTGTGGTTTACACTTCTTAAGTGGTCTCCTCTCCTCCTTACCGTTATACATAGTTTGATGGGTAGCCTTATGTAGCTTCATGTGTGCTCACACTGGCTTTTCATGATTGCATGTAGCCATACATGTCAGGTTTTGTTGCATATGAAGCCTCCTAGACTAGTGTAGAAAAAGGACACAATTATTTATGGAAGTTCATGCTATTAAGCATCAATTGGTGATTTGCCAACATATAATTGCCCCAGAATAAGGGTAAATTTTAAATCATTCAGTCTAAAAACAATAGTGGGATTAAGGAGTCAATGGAGAAAAAGGATTCATGTAGCCGACCCCACATAGTGGGATTAAGGCTTTGTTGTTGTTGTTGTTGTTGTAGTCTAAAAACAATAATTTGCCTCCTTAGAAAAAGACGTCCTCAAGAAGATAAAGAAAGAGAATGCATACAATGCACTATATGGGTTAATGGTGAACCCTCCCCATTTGAATCCTTTGTGGAAATTTTAGCAGCTCAAAATAAATGAAATAAAAGAAAAGTATAAAAAAAACACAGAAAGAAAAATTGAGATCGCAATGACGAGGGGTTGAGAAGTTCCAAATCAACATTCACTGTCAGCAATACAGAAGATAAAAAGCTCAATTAGTGCTACCACAAGTCTTATTTTTACACGAAGATGTGAGCAACATCTAAGGATAAAAAGCTTATTCCATGTCAAAAAAACCGGAGATCACCAGCCAATGCGAGGATTTTTTTTTAGTTGGAAAGACCCTCCGACTCAAGCCAGGGATTCCTCTCAAGGATAAAATCCTAGGGTTGTCTCATATATCTTTCCGTTTGCTGGTGTGCAGCACTCAGCTTGAAGCGAATAAAGGTTCGACCTCGTAAATACCAATAATAAGACCGCCTTCCAGAATCAATCAACCCTAAATTAGGCATACTTGGGCGGAGAGAACAAAAATCAGACCATCAATTCTCGTTTCTTGTAAGAATTCAGCTATATTTCTATTCCTAGATTTGATATCAACATATCCTCCCTGATTCCAACCACTGTTTTGTGCTAATAATAAAACCTTCACCTAAATAAATATCCATTCATTTTCATATCATTAAAAAAATAGAAGCTACAGATAAAAACGAGATTAACAGTAAACTCCAACCTGCGATCTCCCAAAATGCCCCGAACTCCTCAAATCAAATCCCTCTTCATCGGGCCACAGCTGCAACCCTCCTGCTGGCAAAGTATCCGGCAACCTGCAATCACCAAGCTGCTCCGCCACCAACGCAATACCCTCGCCGTCCCCGCGCCTCACCAACACAGCTTCCTTCATTGAACTAGATGCCAGATCATTTCCAGCCGAGCCGCCGTCGTCCGGCCGGAAAGGTACCGGCAACCACCGGAAGAACTGGTGCATAACGCCATTGAGACCAGCACCAAGCTCCGCGCCAACACGACTGAGGCGAATTCCAATGTCAAGAATCGCTTCGGCATCGAAAGGGTTGGCATTCTTCGAAGGAGGAGAAGGCCATGTGAAGGAGGCGTGGCTCATCGGTGACTGGATGAGGCCAGAGAAACCTTGGGCGAGCCGATCTGCAAGGTCTTGGCCATGGCGCTGCATCTCCTCCCACGGCTCGAAGGTCCTCTCCATCGACATCTGTGTGAATTAGGGTTACAGGTGTTGGGGCTAAGAGTGAAGGCTGAGGATGGAGGGAGCTTATCGATAACTTACCGGTCAATCATGGAAGATCGAATTTCGGAGATCGCCCGTACACAAATTAATTAAAATCAAATGTTATCTTGAAATATTTATGCGATCAATATTGCTAGGGCTGTCAAGCAAAGCTCACTATTTGGTTCCTCAATGAATTCGCGTTCAATTCGTTCCACGTTTGATAAGTAAGCGAGACGAACGTGAACAATTTTTTTTTCTTCAGTTAGTTAAACGAATCAAACACGAACAGTGATGCGATCGTTCGTGTTCGAATCGTTATTGTTCGAAATATAAAATAATTATATAAAAAAATTATGATATTTTAAAAAATTAAATTTTATAACTTATAATATATAATAAATTAATAATAAAATATATTAATATATTATATCAGTAATATACTAATATAGATATTATATATTTATATAATATAAGTTATATAATTAATATAATCTATCATTTATATATATTAATACTAAAGATGTAAAATTGGCTCATCGTTCGCGAACAGCTCGTGTTCAGCTCGTTCGTTAAAAAACGAACACAAATAGTGATTTCACGAACAATTTCGAACACGACCATATTTCAAACAAATTAAATTTTAAATGAACCGAACACGAGCACAGACTATGTTCGTTCTTGTTTGATTCGTTTACACCCTAAATATTCGTACGAGATAATTCAAAATAAATTTCATCTAATCCGCTTGTCATTGTATTTTTAAAACGTATATATCTAAATTTTATTTTTATATTTATATCATGCAAATCTTTCATAAATCATATACATCTAAATATCACAATTTTATCTTCTCAAAAATAAATTACATTTTTTCATACTCAGATAATGTGATATATATGTAAAAATTTAAGTTTAGGTGTTGATCAGTGAAGACATTCACTGATGTGCACGTAATTCATTATATAATTAAATATTTTTTTATTAAAATAAAAATTTAAGATTATTAAAAATAAGTGCTAATATTAATTAGAAGGAAAGTTAAAAATCACAAACCAAAAAATAAAAATAATATTTTTTTCAATTGTTTGATCATTTAAAATAAATTAATTAGCAATTTTACCGGTTGATATGTGTCGTAATGTCCATAGCAATAGAGTAATGAATTATTATCTTAGAGTTGCACGTAAACCCAGTACACGCACGGATAAAAGTAGATAATCAGGAGAGACAACATAATTTTTTACGTGAATACCCGGAAAGAAAAAAGGCCATGAGAACTTATAAAGTCGAAACGTTTCACTGTGAGTTGATTATTTCAAGTACAACCCCTTGTCTAACTGAAAAGAAAAGAGTACACATATTCTCTAGTTACAATGTCGATGCGCAAAAACTCGTTTCCACATGTTTGGAGTGATCGCAGTGGGGATTGATAGTTGGAACAAGAGCCTCATCTTCGGAGTCGGCACGACGTTCGAAATGACACATTGTTTGATAGGTTGCTTCATGATTTCAGGATGTCAATTATCGATTCCTACGATGCTTCATCGCGAGAAGCAGACGACGATTGATGGTAGTCGGCAGTTGCTGGAGCTGGAGGCATTCGCCAAATCTATAATGCATGAAACTAGAATTCAGCTCCCACTTCTTCAGACTCTGATCTTGCTCTTGCTCAGGGTCTAGTCCTCTCCTTTAGAGGGAGATAGAGTTCTATATATAAAGTCTAGATTAAAAAAAAAAAGAATATGAACAACTATGATCGGACGCCTCAAAAAGATCCCCTTGATTAGACTATGTTTATTGAATATTTGAATGTCTTAAAAATGTCAGAATTGAACGATCTTGAGCTTTTTAGATTCATCTTTTTGAGATGTTCGATTTGTTTATATACTTGATAGATTTGAAATATATTTGACCCTCCAATTATGAAATATATTGTAATAACTTTCTAAAATTATTCTCCATTTTGCAAAATCATAAAATTGGTGTATCTTCAAATTTAAAATTTTGTATAAATTAAACAGATGTATGATAGTTATTAAATAATGCTTGATAATGATAAAATTTAGCCGTATATTTATATGAAGTGATTTAATTTATTAAACTATTTTTATATTTTTCTTATGTACTTTCTTATGGTTAAATAATTTACATGGTGCTAAATTCATTAAAATGATTTATTTCAAACAAATTATCAAAATTTCAGATTACTAAAAAGGAATATTAATATGTTGATTATTTAATATGTTAAAATAGATATACATTTATATATTTCCATTATATTTTAAGTTTATTATAGTTAATTAAATCACTCCTGTTAAATTTCCAAATATTAAATATGTTCCATTATTAACTTTCTAGCAAAAATAATTTTGATTTTAATATAGCTACTGCAATCAATGGCTGCCTCCGAATTCAAACAAAATGAAGTATATACATAAAAGCATTTATATATATATATATATATGTTAAGAGGTTGACGTCGATCAACCCCTGAGTCTGACCGAGGAGTAGAGCACCCTTCCAGACAGGTGTGCAATTCGATCCTACGCAGGGATCGAACCACAAACCCGAGGGACTTACACTAAATGCCGCAACCAATGAGTTATATATATATATAT